AGAAACACCAAAATATCCATTAATTCCCAGGGAAAAGGGGCAGAAACACCAAAATATCCATAATTTCAGGGAAAAGGAGCAGATCCTCCCTTTCCAGGGAGCATTTTGGTGACACTGGAGAAAGAAGGTGGAAATTTAAAACCCTCTGGCAAAGGGATAAAAAATAGCCCCAGGAAGGCGTCCCCGGGCTGGCCAGGAGCAAGGAGAGGTTATTTATTTTTGGGAAGAGAGGGATCCAGTGCCTCACACGTGCCACAGAGGGATTTGCCTCCCAGCACTCCTTCTCCCCCCAGAATTTTGGGATTTGCACAGGATTTTCCTGCTCTGAGATGTCCCAAACCCAAGATCCAAGAGAAAAGGCCGGCCTGACCTTGGCTGCGGGGCGTGGATGAAGGAATAATTCTGTTTTAAGGGAATAATTGGCTTTTTTAGCTCTGATTTTCTGACGTTTCTGCCTTTCGCCCCGCAGCTTTTTCAGCCTGGAGTATCCAGGGCTGGGATTGCTGCTGTGAAAAGCCTGAGGTGGCCCTGGAGGACAAAAATCACTTTTCTGAGCCACGAATCTGCTCCAACAGCCCCGCTCTGCAAGGTGAAACCCTCCAGGGAATGTTTTATCAGGATATGACAATTCCTGAATTCAGGAACTTTTTGCCCCCGGCTCTTCCCTCCCTCTGATGCCTGCACGACATTTTGCTTACTTGGGGCTAAAAAACCATTTCCAGCCTCTTTTTTCCTCATTTTTTTTGGACAATCCCAGGTGCTTTGTGCTCCTCGGCACCTTTCAGACGCGCTGAGCTGTTTTTTAACTCTCAGGAATTAATTCAACACCCCCGCAGCTCTTTAACCACCCCAAAATTAAGGAAGTTTTGGGGTTTGGGAGGATTTTTGGATCATCTCAGCCCACCCCACACAGAATTCCACCCCAATTTTCCCAGCTCCACCTTTCCCTTTTCCCGCCTCTCCAGCAAAACACGGATGAAAAATTAAAACTTTACAATTTGAATAAATTGTAGGGAACGGGAATGTTTATTTAGGGATTTATTGCCCTTTCATGGACATGCTCCCCTCTGAGAACCCTCGATATTCTTTAATTACCTTTACTAATTTCTA